ACAGTGGACACATCTGTAAAATTTACTTGAAGAATATAACGTGAGCACCTTTTTTTACATAATTTTCAACTACCCAGTAATGTTAAAAATTTAGGAAAATATTCTCTGTAATCTTATGTTTTATTGAATTTTAGGTATTTTGGATGTAAATTTACTATAGTTATCAGTCACTATTATTTTCTAATGTGTATGGACATCCATAATGCGACACGTCTACACAGACACAAAAAAAATTTAAAAATTCTTTTTAATATATTGGGCATCGATGAATTGTACTAAGCTTTTCCATTTATGAATAATAATATAGTTTTTACGACCTCTACAAAGATAGAATTTTAAAATATTTAAAACTAAAAGTAAAACTTTATAAATTATAATCAAAATTTTAAGAAATGAAAACAATTCTTGTAAAAAATCATTATTTGTCGATTTTTTTTCAAAATTTTTTTTTTTGCTTTCTGTGTCAAAATTACACATTTGATCCCCAAAGTGTATATAAAGCCTGGAGCATAAGAAATTTGCACAATGTCCTATTTCTTATTTTAAAATTTAAACTAACATAAAATTCAATTTAAAAGTCACAACATAGGATAAATTGAAATGTGGCCTTTCAAGGTCACTCATGGATGTAAACAAAAAGAATTAACACTTAGTATTTCTTGAAGTTTGATTGATAAACTATTTTGATATGAAGCAAGTAAAGCAAATTTTAAATTGTTTACATTTTTAGATCAGTTTTTTTCTTCACTGAATAATTCCTTTTCTTTAAAATTCACCTAAAATTTTTTTTTTTTTTATGTCTTTGAAATAGAAATTCTAATTCCTTATTTTTATTTAAAAACAATAAACCGAGCAATATTTTAAACAAATCAAATATTTTTTGTTTTGTTACTTATATACAGATTGTTATAGTTAAACAAATGAATATATGAAACCAATGTTAAAGTATTTACACTACTTACATTGTTTGGACTGATGTGTCATCTTTGTTGTCATATTCACAGCGTTTCAGCCATTGTATGCTTTGGCCTTTTTCAGGTGATATATATTGGAATTTCAAACTGAAGCCTTTTAGTCCACTGGTGTAGATTGTTCTAGTTCCACATGCCATACCTTTTCTGGATGTCTCAATTTCAGTTATTGAGTTACTAAATCTCAACTCTCCAAGTTTTTGTTCATCTCTGCTGTGGTCAGGTATTGAACCCACAACACTTTGGGTCAAGTTACTGGATTACTTCAACTAATGTTTTTATTCACTGGGTTATGTGTCCTAGGGTTTGGTTTGAAATTTCAACATATATCACCTAAGAATGCAGGAGTGTACAATGGCCAAAATGTTGTGAATATGACAGCAAAGATGAGGACAAGAGTCTGAACAATGTAAATAATTACAATACCTTATTTTGGAAATATAGACAGTTTTAAAGTTTAAAAAACATTCCTTTAAATAAAATAAAAGTGTTATATAAATTCACAATGGTTTATTTTTATTTTTACTGTGGAAATGTAACAAATATTTTCCAGTTTTTAAAGAAACCTATTTCAAATTTCTTATAGAAAAAGCCAGTTGATAGCAGATGGGGGAAAATCTACAAAAACTCCTATAGAAAGTAGTGAAGGGAAGTGAAAAGAAAGGATTAAACATCAACTGCAAGATGACAGAATGCATATCTGTTAACAAATGGATGAGCGCAAAGTGTAAATTGCAAATCGGAGATACCAAAATCAAACAAGTGCATAAATTTAAATATCTAGAAGTGTTTTAACAGAGGATGGAATGTGCGACACGGAAATCTAAAGGTGGATTGGGATAACCAAAGATGCCTTCCAAAAGCTAAGCAAAGTATTAAGAAACAGGAAGATTTCGTTAGATACAAAGAAAAGAGTGCTAAATTGTTATGAGATATCTGCCTTCCAATATGGCAGTCAGTGCTGGACATCTCTTCTACAGAAGGATGCTGAGGATACTGTAGACTAAATGTGAGCAACGATGAAGTCTTGAAGAAAATGAAAACAAAAAGGAAACTAATGCTTAGCATCAGGAAGAGACAGTTGAGGTTTTTGGGGCATATAATGAGGAAGGAGGGCTTGGAAAATCTGATACTCACAGGACAGATACAGGGCAAGAAGGACAGAGGAAAACAATGCATAACATATCGAGTGAGCTTGAGTAAATGGATGGTGGAACAGAGCTTAAGAGAAATAACAGAAAGACAAAGTTTATTAAGAGCTAGAAGGGACAGGAAATTGTGGAGAGCCATGATCACTTATGTCTCTAGGGGACACAGCACATAAAGATGAAGACTTTGACATTTAAAAAGATCTTTGTAGTAAATATTTTATCTAAATTTGGTGTACCTTTGAGTTCCAAATAGGTGGAAACGATTTTTATTTTTAAATCCTCCCTGGACATCCTTATTCAAACCACCCCATTTTATTACATACTAGCAGTAGAGCCCGGCGATGTAACAGTAAGAGATAGATCAAGTATTGACCATCATAGAGACTGAAAATAAAAATTGACAAAGATTATTGTTTAAGGTTGATGGACGCATGTCTTAGTTTTTTTTTTTTTTTTTTTTTTTATTTAATTGGTCAAACTCAACTCAAAAAAACATTGTTTTCAATCATTATGATTCTACCGATTGAATAGAATTTTATTATAAACAATTGTCTTGTAAATGGAATTTTTAAAGCATTCTGAATGTAAAAATAAAGAAAAAAGTGTGCAAGACAATAAGAAACACTACCTGCCAAAAAAATAAGTGAAGCTTTGTTGAAATTGGTTGAAAAATGTAGGAAAAAAAATGTAGGAAATCCGATCTCATATAAACAAACACACACAAACAACCAGCCTGGGTTTTGTAATAAGCATAACTCGATATGGGTTGTCCCCGTTTCATTCTTGTGATGCCTCTTAATCGTGTTTTCAAATTGATTTCATGCAAAAACAATTGTGTTTTTCCAATTTTTGGCGCTGTCAGAACCACCACAAGGTAATTTTACGTAGTCCTGTGAAGTTTTGTTGGAATTGGTTGAAAAATGTAGGAAGTTCGATCCAATATATAAACGTACAGACACGCGCGCACACACACACACACACACACACACACAGACAACCTGGGTTTTATAATAAGTATGATGAAATAATTCACCTTCAGAAAGACTATCAGGTACATCCATGGGGCCAGTAGCTTCAATAAAATTAGTCAAGTATGAATGATAGTAGCCACTTGGCACCTAGTGGTCATCATAGCTTTCCTCCCCATCACTAGCATGGTTATCTCGATCTGATCACTTCACCATGAATGTCCGCTTGAGTAAAGCCTTCAAAATCATCAGCAGAGTCTGAATCAAAGAAAAACTCTTGAATAAAAGCTTTGGTGGATGTTGATGCTGCCATTTTTGTTTACAAAAAAATCACAATAAAATTAATGTGGGTTTAATCGATGTTACACCTCATGTAGGGCATAGGAGAATTCAAAATGTCATTGGAAAATGGAAGTTTAGCCTTGTTCCAAAGCAGTAGTAGGCTATTTCCAGCTTAAAATACCGAAAATAACAGTTGACAAGTGTTTATATATAGCAGTCCTCTCGAGGTGACAGAATGCACCTACAGCTGCAAAGGGAGATAATTCTTTGGCAACAATTTTCACCTCCAGCTAGATAAAGGTTAAGTAGGCGTCTACAACATTTGGATACATATACATATAATTAATTCCATCCAGACTCTCTCTTTCCTTCTCCCTTGTATATGCCAGGACTTTTGAAATTGAACTCTTATAACTTCAACTTTCACTTTATCCTTCTGTATTATTATATTGTGTCATATAAAGATTTATTTTGTATTTTTCAACATGCTGTGCATTTTGTTTTAATCATTACACAAGCCCAATATACACCCAAAGAAATTACACTCATATATAATGAAGATGGACATTGTCATTGATAATATCCATGGATCCTTCATATATTCTCTCTGTGAACATACATGCAGCTTGGAATTGGCTTCTAGCAAAGTAGAATCCAGTCTAAACTCATATTTTGAGCAATGTTTGTTTGATTCTTTATATACATGTTATTGGGGGAAAAAATTGTAAAACTTTTTGTACTTCTCAAGCAATTATTTATAAATCTAAAACTTCTGTAATACAAATATTTATATATGATATATCTTCTTTAGTTTAGGAAGTCTTGATTTCTAGATGATAAACCTTTGTGGGTATTATGGATTTTGCAAACATTTGGCCAAACTAGATTCTGTTTGATTTTTACAATGTTGAAGCAATATCTGTTCTGAAAAATATCACTACATTTTATTTGCTATGATTTTCAATTTGTAAACTTTGTTTATTGGAGCAGACTGTCTTTTAGAATAGAAAAATCAGTTTTCAGAAATTTAAAGTTGATTTCCTGGTTCTACAGGTGCATACTGAGATTTTTAGGGATGGAGCAAATTAACAACAAAAAAGAATCTTATTCTAGAGATAGTTAAAATGTCTTGGACACATAATGAGGAAGGAGGGCTTTGAAAACTTAGCCCTTACAGGGCATATTGAAGGCAAGAGAGAATGGATGGCAGAACAAGGTCGGGAGCCTCAGCAAAGGCATAAAAACTACTAAGAGCCACATGAAATACAAAGATGTGGAGAGCCATGATCGCCTGTGTCCTGATTGGTCATGGCACATTGAAGAAGAATAGGCATGCAGATAGAAAGATGTGGAGAGTCATGATCGCCCATGTTCTAAAGGATGTGGCACCTAGAAGTTGCACCCAAAATTTCATAATCAAATTCTTTTTGTTTAATACCATGCTTTTATATTGGTATTTAAATAAACATTCTTTAATTTAATAGGTCAGAAATCAGTTATGTTCTTTTATTTATTTATTTTAAAAAAAATTTATTTACTTAAAAATTGCAGTTGTAGATGATTTGATTCATAAACAAATGACCATTTTGTAAATATTTCTTTGTTGTTCACATCATCATCTGAATGTTATGAATGCAAGGGACTTCCTCTGTTTATTTATTCATGTAAATAGATACCAAACAAGAATATAAGAATATAAATAAATTGAAATGAACAAAGATGACAGTAAGACAAAAGGTGGTGAGTGAGTGGTGTTAGATTAATTGAATAATGTTTTTCTCTTGAGACTTTTGAACTAGTAATTTTCAACATTAATTTATTAGTCTTTAGGTTTCTTTCTTGCCACATAACCAATTTCTTATTGACCAAGGAAAATGACTTTATTATGATTTGCTTACTTCAAAGAAAATTCTTCTCAAAAAAAAAAAAAAATTTAAAAAACAAAAATATATATATATATAATTTATATATTTTTCTATTAGAAAATTTTTTTCCATTTATTTTTATACTAGCAGCATGGCCCAGTGTTGCCCGTGCTTGATTCAAAAATCGTACGACTCATACAGCAATCGCTATCACTTGACTTAAAATATTTTTGCCCTTCCTTGCCTTTAAAGGAGTGCCCTTTGCCGTGCTGATGTTTCTATATGCCTTACTTCTTGCCTATCTCACACTGCTCTATACTAAACATTAAATCTGTTACGAGAAAAGAACTAAACAAAATGAACTCATAATTGGAAAAACCGAATGAAAAAAGAATGTTAACAACAAATACTTTTTCACACCCAACCCAGTTCTGCGGAATCAGAATCAATGTTGAGTTTAAGCAAGCGAATGAGCCAATTGGAGTAAAGTGCCATGCAGATTTAAATTTTTTCCCATTTGTGACGTATACAGCTATCGATTTTTTATTGCATGCTAGCATGCTAGTTAACATTCATGTCAGTCAGCTGTTGTCTCTCACATTGGTCAATAGAATCTTCCTGTCTATTCATTGGCAGCCAGCTATAGGCTCTCACTCTGGCCAGTAGAAAATGGCCAGAAACTACATGAAAACTGCCGTAGAAGCATGAAAAAAACGATTATTTCCACTATCGATAGGAATTGGGAAATGCAAAGTCAGTCTTGGCCTTCCCGCTAACTTGGAGCATGTGCATATAGATTTTGGTGCAAATCCGTCAAAAATTGCGGCCATGCATTCGTTACACACACACACACACACACACACACATCCTGCCTTTTATAGATAGAGATAAAAAAACCATTTTTATCTTATTATAACTCTTCTTGTCTCTCTCCCTTAGTTAGCACAACTGTTACACCCTGCTCATAAATAATGGACTATACTGTTTTGATCATATGGCAAGACAGAAAAGACATCAGAAAAGCTACTTGGTTTCAGTGCAAGAAAGGAAGAAGGAAAGGGTCAATTTCAAATTTTTTCATTTATACTACGTTATTTATGATTGTTATTGCAATATTTTGTTAAAGTTAAGCTCAAATATATAATGATGTGAAAGTGGGAATTTCTGTTGATAGTTTATTGTCATAAAACTCACCATGAAGTTATTAAATCTTTAAGAATTAAAATTCAACAGAAATTCAAATAAGAAAACTGTGAAATTTTCAGAGATATTTCTGGTATAAATAAATCAAAATGAACAAAAATGACAGACAGTGGACAGAATAATAAGACAATATGTAAAGTGGTGTTAGTGGTGTTAGATTAATTCAATAATGTTTTTCTCTTGACACTTTTGAACTAGTAATTATCAACATTAATTTATTAGTCCTCAGGTTTCATTCTTGTCACGTAACCAAATTCTTATTGACCAAGGAAAATGACTTCATTATGATTTGCTTACTTCAAAGAAAATTCTTTAAAAAAAAAAAACAAACATTAAAAACAAAAAATATATATATATATATGTATATATATATATAACAATATTATATATAAAATATATATATACAGATAAAATAAAGGAAAAATTTTCAGAGTGAAAAAATTTTTTCAGTCCTTAAGCAAAATCAGACTAATGAAGTCTGAAAGGGAAGGGAATAAATACATCAAAAGAAAACTTTTTCTACTTTGTCATACATTTTTCCCAAAATAGAATTAATACAAGTTAAAAGTGTCACTTAGCTGATTGATGTTACCTTCATCATTCCGACTTCAGAGTTTCATAGATGGACCCTCCAGGAATCACTCTATCTAATATATATATTTTAGAACAATTTTTAATGAATTGATTTTATATGAAAATCAGTTGATGTGCTTTTTTAATGTTTACACTGAAAGTCTCCACTTGATTCAAGATGTATGTGTGTCAGTGTTTATATACATGTGTGTGTAAATATCATGTTTTAGCTTGTTCTGATAAAAGGTTTCAAATGTGGTGCCCCTAGTGAGAATTGAACTCACTAGCTTTGTAAGACTATCTCATTTCTTGGTATCAATTTTTCTTAAACTAAATCAAAATATTGACAATGAATTCTCTGAAATTCCAAACCATTTGTGCATTCATAGAAAATCATCCAAAAAATCTTATTATTCTTGTTCATGTCTATTTCTTCTACCAAAACTGGATTTCTTTTCAAACAGAAGAACCAATCATTTTATTTAAGGCATTTTATATACTTTTTGGGTTTTTGGGGGTTTTTTTTTTGTATTTTTTTTAACACTCCATCAGGTTTCATTCTTACCATGTGACTAAATTCTGATTGACCAAAGAAAATGACTTTCTTATGATTTGCTTCTTCTTCTATGTGCTGTGTCGTTGGCGATCATGGCTCTCCACAATTTCCTTGTTTTTTGCAACTCTTGATAATTTTTGTCTTTTTGCCATCTCTTCCAAAACCTACTTTATCATCCACTTGTTCAAGCTCACCAAGTAGGTTTTGCGTTTCTTTACTCTAACTCTCTTAACTTCACTCTGTCCTTTGAGTATCATTTTCCTAGCCCTCTTTCCCCATATGCACCAGAAATCTCAGCTGTCTCTTCCTGATGTTAAGTATACATGTCTTTTTTATTGCCACTATCTCTAGTACTTTATTGTTACTCAGGTGTTGGGTCCATGGTATTCTCAGCATCCTTCTGTGGAACCACATTTTGGTTGCTACAAGTGTCAGGAGATTGTTCAGCATTTACTGCCATATAGGAGGATTAATACTACATAACAGTTCAATACTCTTTTCTTTGTTTCTAGCAATATTTTTTTGTTTCTTAATATTTCTGGAAGCTATTTTTTGCTATATCAATGCATCTTTGGATTTTCATGTCGCACTTTCCATTCTCTGTTAATACGATTCCTAGATAACTAAATTGTTGCACCTGTTTGGTTTTGGTACTACCAATCTGTAATTTGCATGTTGGCTTGTTCATTTTTTTTCAAAAAAAAAAAAATTAAAATATATATAAATATATATATATATATATATATATATATATATATATATATATATATATTTTATTAGAACATAATTTTTTTTTCCATATATTATTTTTATTTTTATATAAGAAAATGTTATATTTTCATTAGTAAATAAACGTCCTGAAGAATTTCATGAATATTTCTCTGTTCAGAATATAATGAACACAAGTGACTTTCTCTGTCTATTGATTGAAGTAGATAGATGCTGAATATTTAAATATATTGAAATGAAACAAAGACGCCAGCAAGAAAGTGTACAGAATTCTAAAAGAAAGTGTAGAGAGATTAATTAAATAATATTTTTCTCATGTGACTTTCAAACCAGTAACGAGTGTTGACCAGCATTAATGTTTTTAAAATTTGGCATCTAAAAATAATGATTAACCCCAAGACACACACACACACACACACACAGACACACACACACACACACACACAGAGTCCTTTTGAACAGGAGTAGCAGTTTATCCCTTGTTCCCTGATTAATATTGAGTTTCTGGTTCCTCAAAGTCTTTTCATTCTCTTTCACTCCCAGTAGTCCCTTGTGTCTTAGCAGTATTATTACTTTGCTTGGGGTGAATTGATTAATTTAGACACTTCAATAGAACTCTCGAGAAAACATTTAATAAAACAGCTATAAATGCATTACACTTCAAATATGAATTGAGTTCTCTTAGCTGCTGGCATATTTCATATAGAAAATGCTAAAATTTCCCTTTCTCTCTGCCGTGCACCAACAGCTTAGGGGTAGGATCTCTGACTGAAGCCAAATCAATTGAGTTTCAATCCCGGCTTGAAGCAATCGGACATCTAGCCACACTGAAGAGCTGTGATACAATGAAACAGTCTGTCTGTGGATGATATATATATATATATATATATATATATATATATATATATATATATATATATATATTCATACACGTTTCATTAAATAATATAGACAAGTGTTGTCTATTTATTTTATGTAAATTTTTTTGTAACATCTGGTAAGTTTAATAACATTATTGTTGAACGAAGAAAGAAATTCACAATATTGATCCATTTTTTTTTTTTTTTTTTTTTTTTTTAATACAATCTAAGCTTTCGGCTTACATAAGCCATTATCAAAGATGTCAATTACAACATATTAAGCAATATATGGACAAGACAGTGATGATAGTCTGTGAATGTTTACATAGATGATCTTGAAGCAACGATAAACACGCGCATCTAAGACGCTAGTAGCGAAAATCGCACCACATCTCATGACATCACCCATGACCACACGTCATGAGATGTGCGATTTTCGCTTCTAGTGTCTTATAAACTTATCAGATGTTACGAAAAAATTTACATAAAATGAATAGACAACACTTGTCTATATTATTTAATGAAACGTGTATGAATGTAAAGATGCTGCCTAAATACACACAATATATATATATATATATATATATATATATATATATATATATTTATATTTGGATAGATGTGAGTTTGTGACCCTGGGTTTCATGCTTTAGTGATCGTCAGACAATTGGGCGCTTTCTAATAAGTATGCTTCCATATAATATATAAATAATTATACATATATATATTTATTTATATACACTTAAAAAATATATATATATATATATATATATATATATATATATTTAAAGTTATTTGAGGACATCATCATTATAGGTGGGTGTATTGTTTTTTATTTGTTGAGACAGGACCATGATTAATCTTGCACAAAGCAAGGTGGGGCCTGCCTGACAGGGGATCTCAGTTTACCTCCCCATGTACACCTGTCATTAGCATCAGCTAGTTCTAGGCACACATTTTCCCTGTCCCTCCATAAAACTTCCTCCTAAGTCAACTTGGCTGTCCCACTGTTGCCTTCAACCATCACTTCATAGACTTGTTTGATAGGCCCCTTGCTTTGCTCAACATGGTCAGCCTAGCATCAAGGGTTAGCTTCTCAAGGAGTGAGTCTAACCTGACCTCATTCTCAGTGAAAACGTATCCAGCATAGGATGTTATTGTATTGATAAAACTGTCTTGTACTTGGAATCAAACTTGGCACATTCCACTCTGTATATTAAACACTATTGTGACTAATGGCTTCTTTTGTCAGCTAGTCAATCTATCATACTTAAGCAATCTTAATTTGGGATCTTCATCTTAATCAGAATTCCATTTGTATGGCCGTCCTGGTTATGATGATAAACTACATCCGGCAGCATGGTCTTTGATTGGGAGATTGAAGTTTTTGAGAAATGTGGAACCACCTCTTACTGTTATTCCCAGGTCCATCCTGACCCAGCTTAGTTGCACCTGTTAGGGTCCCAACTATGGGCAAATAGTGAACACCCCAAATCAACAGTACATTTTTATAAAATTACCAACAATAAATTTGTATAGCAAAATTACCAGCAGTACATTTTTATAATAAAATGACCAACAATACAAAAGATAAATACTAAAGATGTATAAAAATACATTTGTATAGTAAAATTACCATCAATAGATTTTATAAAAAAATTACCAACAATACTTTAAGAAAAAAAATGACCAACAATACATTTTATGATCTATAAATTATATATCTAAAAAACATAACTTTAATGTGAAAGTATAAAATTATGTACAAAATATCTGTAGTTGAAGGCATAAAATTGTGTACAAAATATTTAGGTTTTGCCATTAAATTGCATACAAAATAATTAGGTTTTGCCATTAAATTGCATACAAAATAATTAGGTTCTGCCATTAAAATTAAATAAGCTATAGAGATGTTAATATTCCACTAAACAAAATCAACCATCTACCCATTTTATTTATTTATTTATTTATTTTTAAATGATGGCTTCTATTGATTAAGGATATCTTTTGGATTATAAATATCATTGGACAAATGGAAGAGTCAGGAGCAAAAAAATAGTTACTTTATAAAAGTTTGGCTATAAGTTTTCAGAAATCTGATTTCAGAAGTACCAAAACAAAGAAGCTTTTTTTCTAAACTGTTAGGAGACAGGTACTTCTGGGCAGAAGAGTTGATGTCAAAGTTAGAGGATATTGGCTGTACTGTGGTTTGACCTGGAGAAGGATGGGTTCCGTCAGGTCTGCTTGCCCAAGACACAATTATGCATAAATGACTACCTCTCTGGCTTTCAACCCAGATATGTAGAGGGAACTGGTTTAGTGCTTAGCTATACCACGACTCCTAGGACCATGCTTAGTAATGGAATTGATGGTAATAAGACAGATCTTGCATAAAGTTTCTAATTTTTTTTTCCAGTTTTTTTTTTTTTATTTTTTTTTTTTTTTTGTTTTTTTTTTTTTATTTTTATTTTCCAGTTTTTTTATTTTTTATTTTCTTTTTCTTTTTTTTTCCAGTTTTTTGTTTTTTATTTTCCAGTTTTTTGTTTTTTGTTTTTTATTTTCCAGTTTTTTCTTTTTTATTTTCCAGTTTTTTCTTTTTTCTTTTTTATTTTCCAGTTTTTTCTTTTATATTTTCTTATTTTCCAGTTTTTTCTTTTTGATTTTCCAGTTTTTTCTTTTTGATTTTCCAGTTTTTTCTTTTTGATTTTCCAGTTTTTTCTTTTTTGTTTTTTATTTTCCACTTCTTTTTTCCTTTTCACTTTTTCTTTTTTCTTTTTCACTTTTTCTTTTTTCTTTTTCACTTTTTCTTTTCCATTTTATTGCTTTCATTTTTTCACTTTTTTTCTTTTCTATCTTTCCTTTTACACTTTTTCTTTTTCACATTTTTTGCCCCTTTTTTGTTTTAAACTGAAGTTTTGAATTATTTCTGTTGTGTCCTATTTGATAGGCAATATAAAAAAAAGTATCTAATTTATTTTATCCTGGGTATGTTAAAAGTGTGAATAACTAGTGCCGCAACATTTTGCTATAAAAAGTACAGCTTTATTCATGGGAAGCAGAATTGGTAAAACATTTCAGTGATGCATATGAAATTTTTTGATCAAGCCAATGATCATAAATTGTTTGAATTTCTGGGATGAGTTGTTTTCCTCATTTATATTATTTACAGTTGGACTAATCTTATTTCTGGTATATCTACATTGACAGACACCTGAAGAAGGCAGGAGGGTACATTGGCCGAAACACTGTGATTGTAACAACAAAGATGAAGATGTTAGTCTGACTGTAAATAATGTAAACAAAAACAGGAATCAATATGTTTAATGTAATGTACAGTTTTATTTTCAAATTTTATCCTAAAAAAAATTACTTGTCATTTCTCATGTATTTTTGCCTGGCGTATTTGTTTTTTACTGAAATATTTTTTGGTAAATTCATTACTATAGAACTGCAGAGAGTCTAAATTTGATCCCATTCTGTAAATACAATGGATTTGTTTCGTACAGATTTGAGGGCTATTTAAAGCCCAAACATTTCAGGGTGCAGGACGTCACTTAGGGTACCTGTCACAGCCATCCTGGGTATGACAATAAACTACATCTGTGTCCTGGGTAAGACGATAAACTACGTCCAGCAGAAAGGCCTCTGATCAGGAGGCGTGGAACCACCTCTTAATTGCTGGTGTTCCCAGGTTCACCCTGACCCAGGGTGGTAGCACCTGTTAGGGTCCTAACTATGGGTAAATAGTTAGCCCCCAAACTGGGGTCAAAACACTATGTAAGTGTACAAATAGGTTTTAATTCCAGAAATACCTTGGAAAAAAAAAATTATTACCAGCTATACATTTTTGAAGAAAAAATATTACCAGAAATAAAAAATTTTGTCAGCATTAAATAACCTATTGAGGTTGATATATCATAAAACAAACCAAACCAAGCCAAACCGGTCACAGGAGTTAACCATTAGCCAGTGAGGGTTTACTGATTAATGTCCCCTGTGCTGTAAGTGGAGCTATGACTCTCATTTTAGATGGGATGCCAACCTTGTGGCTGCACCTTCCTTATTGCAATAAAAAGGTTGGATCGGTGTCATAGCAACGCCAGCCTGATGGGGGGGGGGTTAAAAATAAATTTTTGTCCTTGGCTCATATGCATTAGTATGTGTTTGGTGCTCTCCATGTTAAAATGAACTTGTGTCACATTCAACCTTCATGGGAAGGCCAGGTAAATAGACCTGGGGTTCCCAAGTGGTCCATCGTCTAAGTACTAAGAAATCTACACTGCTTAACCTTAGTGATCAAATGAGAACCTGTGTCTCAGTGTAGCTGTAAATATGAAAGTGAGTTACGATTTTACAAACTTAGCTATTCTTACCCTTTTCTGAAAAATCTTTAGGAGACTCCAGTAGTGACATTATAGGAATTTGTTTGTCAGTTAGAAAGGTTTTTTTAATTTATTGAGAAAGTTCCACACAATATGATATTGTAAACTGGTAAACTGATTCTGTAGTGTTGCATGCGGTCTGCAGTTTACAAAATTCATACTATTCTTGGTCCTAAAAATTTGGAAGTTACAGGTTTACTGAACCTTTTATATCTTTTTCCTCAATCATCATTGAACTGGGATGGTTGAGTTTAAGATCCTTAATTGTAATTAGTCCGGCTAATTCACTTGTACAGTTCTTTTGTTGCAAAAGCAAAAATTGACTGATATGAAGTGCTGTTTAATGTGTTCATGTTTATTGTACACTCTTGGGTCAGAAAATATTTCTAAGAAAATTAGAAGCTTTGTACTGTATCATATTCTAGACAAGATGAATGGGGAGGAATGTTTCCTATTGGCTGATGTGCTGATCAGTTACTGTAAATTGGCACCATTATTGTTTACGGTTATTCTAGGTTGATTTAATGCAAGGCTTTGAAGGTTAAACATAGTTTGCTGCTGGTATGTGTCCTGTCATGTGATCTGTGATGGTAGGGTCTGGCAGATGAGATTGTGGGGTCTGGAAGGTGAGATGGTGGGACCTGGTGGGTGAGATAGTATGATGTTTCAAGATCTGAAACTATCTATGAACACAAGACTAACAATCCTGATTATGCATCATGGTGCATCTCTGCAATATATATTGAGATTCTGATTTCAAAATGGAGCCAAAATTCATTCTTTTAGATTTCAGTCTTGGACTGTTACATCTTTTTCTATACATAGGTGTATTGTGTAAGCATGTCATCGAAATTGTTTCATTGTCTGATGGGAAACTTGGGTTCAAGCTCTTTTTAGAGCCAGAGTTCATCTTTTTTTTTTTTTTTTTTTTTTCTTTCTTTTTAATCATTTCACCCCAAGCAAGGCAATAGAACCACTAAGATGTAAGGGGTTACTGAGCATGAGAAAATATGAGAAAGAGAAAACTATTATTAAGGCGAGAGAACAATAAGAGAACAGTAATTAAGAAGACAGAAAATAACGGTTGACATTGCATTTAAATTTTTGAAGATCAAAGTTTGCTGGGTAAAGAATAGATTCCCTATTAACTGTGAGATAAGCTGAAAATGAACTTTTCAGTCTTAACTTGTATAATGATGTGAGCTGCAAATTGGTGACATCAAAATCAAGCAGGTTTAATTTCAGTCATGTTGTAACAGATGACGGAAAATGTGATGCAAAAATCCAAAGGCACATTTAAATGGTAAAAGAATGCCTTCCAGAGGCTAAACAAAGTTTTAAGAAACAGGAAAATTTAATGAGAAACAAAGAAAAGAGTGGTAAATTACTACATAATATTAGTGCTGTTATATAGTAGTGGATACTGGACAATTTCCTCACAGATGAAAAGCTAACAAAGTTATGAAGGATGCTTAGAATACCATATGTGAGCAACGAGAAAGTTGTAAGGAAAATGGGAACTGAACGACAGAATTAGAGAGATTTGACATTTCTGGGACATATAATCAGGAAAGAGGACTTAGCTTGATTGATTGATAAATTTTTTATGGCTTATCAACCATTCACAGTTTATTTAAAGCCAGAAAATAATTTTAGATTGTAAAACTTTTTTTTTTTTTTAAGATAACAATAGTTTAGTGATACAAGTTTTAAAAATTAACCCATAGCTGGGGGCAGAAGAGTTGGATTCATACCTCTCCCAAGAGTATTTGCACATAAGTGAATATACACTGCAGAAAAAATGAAGTTGTCAATAGTACTATAGAAAATGCAAAAAAGTGGTATGTGGCTAAATACTGGTTGTTACAAGTATATCATAAACTGTTTAGTATTGTCAAACTCTCTATAACACTTAATTATCTGTCCATATTGTATGATAAATAGCATATCAATTGTAAGTTAGTGTGATGGAGAGGTGTTTCTCTCTATCACTCTTTCTCTCTCTCTCTCTTTCTATCTATCTATATCTATCTATCTATCTATATATATATATATATATATATATATATATATATATATATATATATATATTTTATCCTCCTTAGGTTTACCCATACGGATTACCTAGTTTTTCATAAACTAAATAAATATATATATATATATATATATATATATATATATATATATATATATATATATATATATAAATAGTATATGTATATTTAGGCAGCATATCTTCATTCAAACATGTTTCATTGAACAATATAAACATGTTGTGTTTACTTATTTTTGTACTGATCCTTTCCATTTGTCTAATCAATTTCTTGATGGTAAGATGAAATCATTTGGACTATTGTCCGCATCATTGTCACCATATTTATCACAGTGTTTCGGCCGTTGTACACTCTGGCCTTCTTCAGGTGGTTGGAATTTTGAACTGAACACTTTATTTCACTCACTGGGGTAGACTGTTCTAGTTCCACATGCCATGTTTGATGGGTGTCAGTTATCAGTTATCTTCTGCTAATTTCCCTCTGAAAGTTCTCCACTGCCTTAACCACCTGAAGAAGGCTGGAGTGTACAAAAATTAAACGTTGTAATAAATATGGCGACAAAGATGAGGACAATAGTCCGAATAATGTAAATAATGTACATAATACCTCATCTCAGAAATATAGACAGACTGTGTAAAAATTATCCGAACATTCTGTATATATGAACATATTCGGTTAATCTTTTAGCCATTATCTAGAGTTATTGTTATACTTACATAAAATACAACTATAATAGCCTCATTTAGATGCTTAAAAAAAAAAAAGCTAAAAAGTAATGTAAGCATTGATAATAAAAAAAAAAAATATAGAAGCCAACACTCAATAATATCAACTATGAAGATGGTCACAATGTGCTGACCATGTTTGGAAAATAAAAAAAAATTCTCATAACCATCTACTCACAGACAAAATGCAAGCCTCCCACTATTATGTCACTACTTCCATGGAAAGTTTTCAGACAAATATTTCATAGTTCCACCAGTTCTAACCTTCATAACTAAGACCTATCATACCACACACACACACACACACACACACACACATTGTCATAAACAACACTCATTTATTTCATCTTCCATCGTTAAGATATAAGTGCCACTTAAGCAGCTTCTTGCAATGAACCACGGCTTTGTGGAACTGACTCCTAAGTGAATGCTTCTCCAATCACTATGATCCTAACCTGTTCAAGTTTATGGTTAAATGTTATATATCTGCATAAACTGTGCCTATTATCTGTAACCTTCTACCTAGAGTGGCTCTTGGCCCATGTTCAGGGTAAATATCATTGTCAAAAAAAAAAAAAAAAATCTATAAATGACTTAAGAATAATGTTTAAGATGAAATTTAAAATTGGTTCAGTTAAACATAATTTTTGTAATGTATAATATAGAAGCTAAAATTTAATATTAAATTCTTAAAATGATATCATATTTATGGCAAAAAATACAATTTGTATAAAATAAACTTAGTTCACTAAATCCACCAAAGATTTGATATTGTTATGAAGTGGAATCTATATATTACCAGACCAGCAGTACTTGTTTATTTCCCATACTGAGATATATCTAAGTCAGTTTCTATCTAAGTCAGTTTCTATCTATCTATTGAAGTCTGTTGCTATCTATCTAAGTCTGCTTCTATCTATCTATCTATCTATCTATCTATCTATCTATCTATCTATCTATCTATCTATCTGTTTTCTATCTGTTTTCTATCTATCTATCTGTTTTCTATCTATCTATCTATCTGTTTTCTATCTATCTATCTATCTGTTTTCTATCTATCTATCTGTTTTCTATCTATCTATCTATCTATCTATCTATCTATCTATCTATCTGTTTTCTCTCTATCTATCTATCTGTTTTCTCTCTATCTATCTATCTGTTTTCTCTCTATCTATCTATCTGTTTTCTATCTATCTATCTATCTATCTATCTATCTATCTATCTGTTTTCTATCTATCTATCTATCTATCTATCTATCTATCTATCTGTTTTCTATCTAAGTATAAAATAAACGTAGTTTACTAAATCCACCAAAGATTGGATATTGTTATGAAATGGAATTTCGTCCATATTAGTAGTCGTGTATTTCCCATACCAAAAAGGGTTATTAGCTGTGTACCCATGTCACAACCCCATGTGACAAGAGGTTGAGTTTAAAGTGTGTTTATCAGAAGTACTGCAGCAAAATTCTCAAGCTTTCTTGGCACTTCCCTATTTTGGGAATGCAATCATTTACATATTACTAGAGATATATAAAAAAAAAATCCATGAAACTCTAAGTGTGGATTCATGTGAGTGAGTTTTATTCTTACTATCTAAGTCTGTTTCTATTTATCTATCTATCTATCTATCTATCTATCTATCTATCTATCATAGACTTACTACCTAATTGTTTGACTGTATATCAACTGTTTCTATTTATCTATTTATTCCAAATTGTGCCTTATCTAACTAGCTAGCTATGTCTGTCCGTTGGTCTGTGTTCATAATCTATCTATCTATCTATCTATCTATCTAAGTCTGTTTCTATCTTTCTTTCTAGCTGTGTGTGTGTTTGCTTGTGTACATAAACATGTATGTTTTCTAATGACTAGCTCAATTTTTTTTAATCAAGAAATGAGCATTCATAATGAAAGAATTCATGTAATTTTTTTAGATACTCATAGTTCTTTTAAAAATATAAGTAACTATGTAAATAATATATTTACTTAGTTACTTAGTTATTTATATAGATACTTATTTACTAATCTTTATATAAAACTGGGTTAAGAAGTGAAAGAACACATTTTGAAAAATTGTGTTGCGTCAATCTTTTATGTGGGTAGGAGTGGCCTTGAAAATCAGCCCCTCGGAATCCTGGCTTTTAATTGGTGGCTCAAAACCTGACCACTGTCACATGAGGGGAAAAATACCCAATTACTTCAGCCATGAGGTGGACAATTAATAATGTGTTCAGTTTGAAAAAAATTAATGAAAACAGAAATGTCGTCATTGTTTAAGGGAAGGAAAGAGCTAGAGAAAATGTCACCCACACGTTTTAAGGCTTAAAATATATATGACTACTCTATCCGTTAATATTGCTACTTTCTGGGGATTTATTAGACAAAAAAAGTAAAAGCATTTGCTTAAGTCTATCTGAAGGACATGGTTTATAAAGTAAAGCTTTCATTAGAGTGTAGGAATTTCTGTTTGTTTATTTTTTTGATCTTTCTAACAGAATAGGTTATTGTCAGCTTATCTGGTTCAGAAGCATTTGACTTGGGTTCAAATTAAGCATTTCCATTCAGTTGTGCTGTTCAACAACATGCACAAAAACATGTTTTCATTCCCTTCATCCACCAAAATATGACCAAACATTCAAGTGAATATAATTTCACATAAAAGATATGCAATCTGAATAAATTATTATTAATAATTGTTATGAGATCTTACCCATAATAATAATAATGGACTATTCCATACTTAATAAATACTGCACCTCAGGAGTAGGCAAGGATTCAGTAGTTCAAGTCGAGTCAAGAGTCGAGTCAGAGGCAGTCCGAAACAGAGTCGCATTCAGACAATTACTGCAAGACATTGGAATAGTGATACTGGTTGAGACTACATTGTTCTCTCTACTAAACCTGATTGTTCATACTAACACTTTCTACTTCTCTGTATATATTCCTGTTTGTAATATATCTGTGTTATTCCATATCCGTGTTCGAGTTCTTCTTTATTGGTTCTACCTTGGACTATCACCGTGGTACAAGGAACCGGACCATAACAATAATTATTATTACTTCTCCGATACTATTTTGATAAATTTATTTCAGGTTAACTTTCTTTTAAGTGGGTTGGAGTGAGATTTTTCACTCAAACTCCAAATTAACCTGTCTGTTTTTTTGTAAAATTATTGTTTTTCTTTTTTTTTTTCTTTTTTTTTTTTTAAATCTTTTTTAAAACAATTTTTACCATATTATTTTGGAGGACATTTTAGAAAAATAAATTACTCACATTGATGATAGAATTACTTTTTAATTCCAAAAAAATAAAACTTTAAAAGAAATGAATTCCATCATCAAATAAAAAGGGAAAATTGAAATGCACTTGTTATTGCAACTAACGTACTGACAATTTAACTGGTATTTTTAAATCATATAACCGCATAATTGTCCATCCCACAAAATGTTTAATATCTAAAAAACCACTAAACTACTTGAGTTCCATTTTTTTTCAGGTTTTCAGATAACTGTCTTTATAAATGAGCAATGGTGTGAGAAAAAGATCATTTAGGCCTTCAGTAATGGTACCAACATTCATACTCTGGCTTCCATCAAGAACTATCAAGAGACTGGTGAATAAATTTAAAAATGAGGGAACAGTAGAGAGGAAAATTGGGTTAGTTGGTCACAACAGGAAGAGCGATCATCATTTCAACTTAGAACAAAGGAGATCAATTAGAAAAGATCCAACTCAATCCATAAGATGTTTGGCATGTGTGAGAGTAGTTTTTAGCTATGGCTGTTCAAAGAATAGTGAAGAAAGATTTGAAAATGAAATTGTACGTGAAACCTGTGAGGCACCTTGTTACTCCAGGAGAGAAAGTTAGAAGGTTAGAGAGTGCTAAGATCATCTTGAATAATTTGGAAAATAATTCTGGAGTAATATATATTAATATATTTAATAAATAAAGTTCAAATATATATATTTTAACCTTATTTCAATCCTCCATGAGCTTCCGATCCTTAGCTATGATTAATTAATGATGAACATGTTATTTTTTTTTGTGATCAATTTCATCAAAATTCTTCTGTTAAGCTTGGAGAGTAATTATACATTCTTATTGCTCAAAGTAGAGTCCAAGAGTGTTATAAAAAACCTCGGGGAATTCCAGTAAGATAACTGTTATGGTACCTACCTACATTGGAATGAACTCTTCCACCTTTCATAAATACTAACCTGTGAGACTTCCTGGAGACAGTTGAGACGCTGTGTAACCTGACACTTTGGACTTTGTATATATCTTTTATTTCAATACACTTGTCTAACCTACCTTTTTCTTCCTGAATCTTTCTGGGCCCCTAACAGGCTACAACAATAATTTTAATCATTTCTCAGATACAATACTTCAAAGCTCAATTGAACAAATGGACTATATTTTGCTTTTACATGATTTGGACAATTTTGCTGTTACACTCGGTATATTCCATCTGTAGTTGTTTAGTATTTTTTATTTCTTTTTTTTTTTTTTTTTTATAGTTAATTTCTAATATAACTAATACAGTTAAAATATTTAATGCATTTTTCATTTAAATATCCGTTCTTGACTTGTTAGCTACAACTTCAACCCCCATTTTTTATGACATAGTCACGACTAACAACAGCAACACAATATAAAAATAAAGTATAAAGTTTAAAACAAAATAAAAATAAAATATGTATCAAAAGATATGTTGGTTTTAAATTTATTGATTCTTTATCATGTGTTTTTCAAATTAATTTATTTTACTTTGATAAATGACAAGTGTTGTAGTGTTGACATTATGAAACTGTTTCTCAATGAAATTATGTTGTAGTGTTGACATTATGAAACTGTTTCTCAATGAAATTATGTTGTAGTGTTGACATTATGAAACTGTTTCTCAATGAAATTATGTTGTAGTGTTGACATTATGAAACTGTTTCTCAATGAAATTATGTTGTCAATATGGATGACCAAACAAAAGTCTCATAAATAGATGTGCTAAAGATATAAATTGGCTTTAAATATCACTGGTGTGTTAGAAAGGATATTTAAACATCATATTCAATAATCTTTTCCCTTTCACCTATATTTTTCCTGCAAATACAATATTTTCTGCTTCATCATTTATTTGTAATGTCACAAGTTTAGTAATTTGTGTTTATTTTGGAGAGAATGACGAGAAATCAGCCCAAATTTCTTGATAAAAAAATGTTCCATAATGAAAACATTTTATCTCTTTGTTATATACCGTACCTATGAACACTAATGGGTATGGCCTAATCCTCATAAATATGTTGGACACTATTGTAAGTGGGGGTAATATGCTGTCTCAGGAGTCCACCACTAGCAGTGGTTTACCTACTTCACACAGCTGGCAAGTATTGTATTTTGTTGATGTTAAAATGATCACCATTTCATTTCCAACCTCCATTTTGGGTATTCCTCTTTAAGTAACCTTTTCTAGGTTACAACACTCTTAAAAAGTTATATTCCAAGGAGCAAACATATCAGACATTTTACAAAAAAGAATGAAATATTTTGTTATCTGATTTAATATATATTTTTCATCAGCAAAGAGTTTATTTATGGTCATCCTTATTCATAGCATTGTTTAGATGTTTTGAAGTCTTCATAAAATAAAAAAAAAATAAACAAAATGTTCAGATGAACTTCATTCTTTCAGCAGTAGTTGAGGTCATCATTTCAAAACTTTACAATGAAGACCTGCCTTACTCCATTCACAGGGTTGAATTACTTTCATTCTCTACATTGATATGTTGCTAAACAAAATCAACCAACTGATATCAGTAATTAAATCATTATTTCCAAAAAATTCTTAAAATCTAAAAATATTTTCTGGCTATAAAATAATTTGCAAAAGGTTGATAAGCCATAAAAAACAAATCAATCAAAACCTATCTCACTCAATCTTCAAAAATGAATATTCCTTGACGGAAACATGTCTGATTTTATATGCTATTAAATCATAACTGTAGGTTTACTTTCTTTGAGTGAAATACAAAATAAAAAATGGTTTTATGTCTTTTAAAGAGAAAAAAACATTGTCATGCTTTCTGGTTTTATATGCTAGATTTCAATGTTTTTTGTTTTTGTTTTTCTTAATACCATGTTCCTTCAGGGCATAGGGAATCATAGCTCTCCACTAGTTCCTTTTTCCTTTATTATCTATTAATTGTCATGTATTCTTGAGAAAGATAGGAATGTGGTTTCCTTTTGCTTTCTGCACATTTTTTGGAATTCAGAATTTTTCTTCTCTTATACAAGTTGCCGCTCAGTGCTAGAAAGAACTCAGTCTATGCTGTTATTTAACCCTTAGCTGGGGAGGAGAATAGTTGGATTCATTCCTGTTCTTTTTTTATATAAAAGTGAATGCAACAACATTGGTTAGAATTTGAACTCTGCTCACCAATCTAGGTCAACTCTCAGGTTTCCAAGGTCTTTTGACTTTCTGAAGTGACACTGGTTATAAAACTTACTTTGGTATCTTTTAGGATGAACCCATTATATACTAGGGTTATGACTGATTATCTCTTAGATCAAGGGTTCTTGATGGACTTTGAATTTGATTTAGAGCTATGGTATTTCCTGGTGCAGCTGTTTATAATTAAATCTAATAATATCAATTGGCTCTAGAGGAGTCATGCATAGATTTATTTTTGGAGGCATCTTTATTTTAAAGAAAAATTTAAACTTTCTCAAATTTTGTAATGAAATTTGCTTTTGCAGTAAGTCTCTGCTCTTTGTACTTTGAAATTTGAATATATACATTGAATAGGAGTAGATAGGTTCACCTATT